GGTGGCTTTAAGCCACTTTGATATAAGGCTAATCAGTATCTTCCTTTAACTACGTATAGTATATGTACATATTGCATTCATCATTAAAAACCTTACTGTTATTCCTAGCATACTACAGTATACAGTCTATATTCGTAGTTTTCTAACTGCGCACTGTTGAGATCGAGCCGGAGTAAAGCAGGTCTTTACTTACGACTTTCGGTCAACACCGCTACAATGCTTTAAAGTATTCCTTAACCGCCTTCTCCTATTATTTAGAAATGATATTTAATATCTCGGTATAAGTAACAGACATAATCCCAATCTAATATACCAAAAGTTTTATGGCCCTCCAAAGAAGCCCCTAATACCTAGATAGATTAACCATACTAGGCATGCTATTTATATAGATAGCCATTCTATTTCCTAACCAGGCAATGTGAAGCATGACTTAGCAATCCAATACTTAGGTTTGAGTTAAAGTATTAGCTGCCACTAAGTAGACAAATTTCATCCTTGCCGAGCCTATGCCGCATTCGCAACCTCTAACCACCACTTTGCAAGGGATAAAATCTTAGACGGCCTACTTCGTTTCGCATTTCTAATCGAGCTCGTTAATCACCTGCCATATGAAATCGCATTGGCCAGGACAGCCAGGGGTGCCACGGTGCAGCTATCCCAGTCTTGAAGAATGTCCATTACATTCTGCCGGGTCGGGTCTGGTCAAAGCCTCCCTCGAGATTATAGAAGCGAGCAAGTTACTCATCTTATCGGTGCTTCAGATGGTCCTCTTCGTGGCAGACCTAAGCATTCACAGCCCGCAGGTCTTAGTTCATATTCTCAATGCGTTCGCTCTCAAGGTTTTTTGTGGCACATGATTCCCACATACGTCGAAAAATCCCAAGCAGGCGTGCGCCCTAGGAAGCAAGCTTTGGGTCTTCTTTTTCCAACCGCTACAGGGTTTCAATAACTAGTCCGAAATGGCTTCGCAGCCCGAGGCACGATGCCTCTCTCGTCTCGAGCAATCTAGAAGATTAAGTCAGAAAGTAAATTTTTGATTGCCGGTTTATTCTACCAGTAAGTATTCCCGTGGTGGCATTCCACTCTCAGCCGGACATAGCGTAGCCAGCGGCGTATTGGACGTCCTGCCGGGCACTTATATCTATGCTGGCAACTCCACCATGTTAGACTTATCCATGACTATAGAGAGCTTGGATCTATCGGAAATATGGCTGCCTTTTATAGTTGAAGTTGACAGACAAGGTGGTAGAATATAGCATATTGCGCAAGTTTCGCTTATTTCAAGTCAACGCCCGTCGAGTAGGAGTGTCTGAAATTTCACGTTGCCGCACTATAAGGGTACCGAAAAACTTTGAAAACCCCAGAAAAGAGAGGCCACGTGTCTTCCATTTTTATGCGGGTTAATACGCGCTGTCGAACCAGACGTTAAAGCGTCAATCATTCGTTGCGCGCTAAATACTTTGAATCCTCCTACTTCTAGTAGGTGAGTCCCTATCCCAAAGTGGACGCTCTAGATTTTACGTAGCCTGATGGTTATTAAGAAAATAACAATCTTACCCATCACACGACCGCACTTAGATTATAGCATTCAGTCCAGAATCACGTCGGAAAGAATAGACTTAATCAGGACTCAAGTAGATTTACACATAATGACTTTCCTTACATTCTACGCTAGCTATACTTTATCGCTATAAACAAGCTTCCAAATAATAGACATGGTAAGCGCACTTAGTGCGGCTAGATAGTATAACAAGCCTTTCAGCCTACAAACAGACATATAGTGCATAAACACGCGAGTGGTTTTAAAGTGATATAGTATACATCCACGGGATTATGCACAAGGTCCATCAACTAACGTAACCCGATCATGGTTATTTACCGTAATATTCACCGACCTTGCCGTCTCGTTTCATAAAAGGGCGCATATTAAGAGTTCCCTAGGCTCGACCCCAGAAAGCGGAATAGATCAAGTACTATCATAATATCATGAATCGGTTGGTTCTATACGAAACACGGTAAGATTCACTGATTTCGATTTGGCAGGGCAGCTTACTTAAATAACATCATCTGCATCATCCGCCGAAAAATCAATCCACTCATTGACTGCTTTTTGGTCTTATAATAAACCATCTATCCATCTATCCACGATGTCCAAATGCCAGTAGCCTTTTGGGAGCCTCAAATGTGTATTCCCCTTGACTATGGAGTAGATTTTCCGTTCAATGGCGCGATGGGTACGGCGGAAGCCGCGACGAAAAAGCAAACAGCGTATCGCTCTGGAACAGATTTGCCGGGAAGAAAAATAGACCGCGATTATCACCTCCTCGTTTGACCATCGGGGCTCCTTTGGCATTTTGCAATCAAAGATTCTTCGTTGGGAAATGGCTCTAGAGCTCATAAATTGTAATATACGGCGTACCCTTGGCGGGAAAGGGCCTTTGAAGTGATAATTTACGGCCCAGTCGACAGCCAAATTAGCGAAGTTAATCTCTCGGCGAAACAGGCTCTTCAAAAGGCGAGAAGTACTCATTGCATAGACTTCGGCTGTGCGTGTAAAAGACTGAGCGGGCTGCTTCAACGGGTTGTTTCAACAAAGACTTCTGCAAAGCCGAGTCTCCCATCAGGGATACGGTTCTTAAACAAAATTTTAAGTAGGTTGCGGCTTCAGAAGTATATCATGAACTCATCAAATGACATTTTACTGAGGAACTCGGTGAGAACAGTCCTACTGAAAGAACACAACAATTGACAGTGGTCCTCGTCAAAATATCCTTAGGTGTATCTATATTTCCCCCTAAGCGACTCATATATATATGCAGAATGCGCAACGCGTTTTGGAAGCCCTGTGCCCTCTTACAACAGGTTGAAGTCGGCACATGCTGGTGCAATGGGCAAATGCTGATTTGCATTATCTACACATACGATACCGATCGCTACTTACGGCTGAGACTGTTTAAACATCACAAATTATGGTGCTGGTCGGTCATTGTCCACTATAAATACTTTTTCCTGCGGGCGGTTTAGATCGATAAACCCATGCGGGTCTTGGTGAGTCACCAGTTGGACCCACCAGGCGACGAATTCAACTCTCCATCGCGTTGTTTCAGGGCCGGAAGGGCGATCGTTTTCTTATTAAGGGTGCATAGATCGCGGTTCAATCATCTAGACTGAGGTCGCCATCAAGTCACTGACATGACTTTAGAGATACGGAAGGGTTAATAGGAAGAGTGAAGTAATAGGGTGGTGAAGAGTGTCCTCTTACTCATTCAGTGCCAGACTTCTACTCGCTATCAATTGGCACTACGAAGGTCACAGTAGTAGGCAGATGTGGCGATATCCTTTAACACAAACACTAACACTTCAAGAGAGAAGGTCATTATAGCTCTTTTGCAAATATAGTAGAATTCAAAAACAGTTTACCCCCCAGACACACAGGCTTTCTTTCCTAGCGCCCCACTCAGACTGCGCTAAACTGCATTAGGTTAAGAAACGTCCCCACCTTATTAATCTAATGTATTTCTGGTAGATCACAAAAGTTACCGTAATTACGGTTTCCGGCATAGGGCAACCCATACTTACCGAAATGGCCTCCGGCCAAAACTAAATTCGAAAATAGTTTACCCCCCCTGGGACAAACACGCTTTGTTTCTTGGCCCGTACCCGAGACCACACTAATCTATATTTAGGTAAGGCGTAAATAATTATTTCCTAATAATAGACCCTTTTTATTTCCAGAACAGCGACTTTTTGTAAAATACGGTACTTTACACTACTACCTCACTGCGCCTCCATACCCCGATTTCCATCCTTCACAATACCACTATCTAAGATCTACTAGAATTCCCACGCAATATGGCACTAAGACTATCCCCATCTAAACTACATCTCATTAGTGATATAATATAAAGCCAGTCTTTAACCCGTTCTCAAATGGCCGGGGCAGTAGAATGCAGCGAACAGACGATCAAAAATATCCGCAGAAACTTGTGACTATTTGGACACGTCCATGCTCCCCCAACCCGTGTCGGTTAGAGACGAAGCCTAACACCACCAATGGTAGAAGCGCTCTATGACTACTTGCTAGAAAAGCCAGGTCTATATCTTAAGGAGATGGCTATCTTTCTATAAGATGAATTCCAGATGCTAGTAACTACCTCGAGTATTCGGAGGGCCCTAGTGTCCCAAGGCTGGTCCAAAAAGACCGCCCAACAGAGTGCTAAAGAGTAGAGTGCCAAATTACGAGAAATTTATCTTCATAACCTCTCCAAGTTTGCATCGTACCACCTTATTTATGTTAATGAATCTAGATATGATAAACGAATCGGATTCCAACGGACAGGCTGGTCACCACTCAGTGTAGCACCACGACAGGTGTCACAATTCCACCACGACGAACGATATCAAATTCTGCCTACATATGCCCAGGACGGTATCGTGCTCTCTCGGGTCTTCCGCGGCTCAACGGACGCCACTATGTTCGAAGATTTCATCAGTCAGCTCCTTCGGCACTATAGAAGATGGCCGGAGCCAAGGTCTGTTCTAGTCATGGATAATACATCGTTTCACCACTCCAAGCGGATTACACAGATATATGCTGATGCGGGAGTCAAGCTGGTTTATTTGCCGCCGTACTCGCCGGACCTAAATCCAATTGAAGAATTCTTTGCCGAGCTTAAAGGCTTCATAAGACGCAGTTGGAGCTACTACGCAGAAGATCCCGACCGAGAATTCGGCTCCTTTCTCGAACGTTGTATCAATCAAGTTGGGGCGCGAGAAGCTAATGCTAGAGGCCATTTTCGACACGCAGGCTTGACTATTGAAGAGTCCGATAATTGAAATTATGCTTCTAGCGACGTCATTCATCACAGAAAATGAGGCACCTTGCATTGAGTCTGAACAACTGCTACCTAATTGTCCCATGGTCACATCTTCCTGCTATTCAGACAAAATTCCCAGTCAAACTAAACCACCGCCAGCAGATCCAGCAGCAAACAGCAGCCTCATCTAGAATCACCCCCGTGACTCCCACGATGGGCTGCAGTACCACGAGGGGGTACAGTTCCACGAGGGGGGCCAGTCTCACGAGAAGAAACGTCTGTACCCGTAGCACGGTTTTGAGTACTATCATTTCCACGATTTTCTCTACTGCTCCTTTCTCTTTCCTGTCTCCGCTGCTTCTTCTCCTTTCTCCTCATCTGCCTTCGTCTGTTTGAATCTTCATTGTCTGGTCGTGGAAGGAAGACCGAGCCGCCGCCAACCCGCCAATGAAGGATGTACCAGGTCCTTTGGCTGCGTAAAGACGGATTCGACAAGCGAACAGTGACATGTGGAACTGGGTTCGGGTCATGGGTACTTGTAGTGGGATGAAGGCCGTTGCTAAAATGATTTAGTAAAGAAAAGCTTTCAAAATGTCAGCCTATCACTTACAGAACATAAGCCTGGTCAAAATCAAGTACAGTTCCATCATGAATCGCGAATCGGCGGTTCCCGTTAATCCATTGTTGGAACTGATTATGATAAAGACGAGGAAAGTTTTGATCGCAGTCAGGATCATAAATGACTTGAACAGACATCGTGAGAAACAGCCCGGTGACGCTCAACAAGACATCCGTATGTATATGTGGTAAATAGCCAGGTATCTGAGGGACGTATTTGTGTTTAATTCTGGGGATGCGCCAGCAACATTATATGTTTGACATTGATCAACGGAGCCACCGACATGAAGCCGACAGCACCTAGGTGAGCGCTTAATCAAACAATAATTGTGTCATTAAAGCGCGCGACACCCACATTCTCTCGGGCTCGCGTTTCAAGTCAAACACTAGACAATTAGTTTCCTATTTTTGGAACATGGGGTGAATATCGTTGGACCGCAGGAATTGGTTCCAAAATGACTCAACATTCTAGTGTCGGAGTTATTTTGCGCGAACGGCTGTGACAAGCCCAAAGCGGTGTGCTATATATATCCAACCACCCAGGGTTCCAAGACACGGAGAGGTTAAGTTAGTTACCAGGTCGGGTTAGTCATCACGGCTTGGCAGGCAATAAATTATCTCCCGACGCATCACGACTTTTCTGATTGCGACGTTCGCCTCATCCCCAAGCGCCTCCCTGCACTCGTCGACCTTTATTCAAGGATGGATCTATCTATATTCTGCCAAAGCAACCTTCTGTACACACAGGAGTCATTATCAAGATACCAGCCTGGTGGATATCATCCAGTCAACCTTGGAGATACTTTTAAAGATGACCGTTACAAGATACATCACAAGTTAGGATGGGGTGGCTTTTCTACAGTATGGCTTGCGAAGGACAGAGAGTCAGTTTATCTTTGACTAGCCTCGCTTATTCCTAGCTAATCTCACGCCAGTCGCAATCAATGGGTCTCGTTGAAGATCATGACCGCAGATTCATCGGTATCGCGAGAGCTGCAAATTTTGAAATTTATGGAGAGACATTCTCGAGGAGCGCTCTCTTCAAATTATGTGGTTCAACTACTTGACGCCTTCATCCACGAAGGCCCTAACGGAGTCCACCAATGTCTTGTATTTGAATTACTTGGCCCTTCAGTTGATAAGGTCCTCTCAGACTACCATGAGAGCCACGACAAGCTCTGCTCGGAAACCGTACTCCGAATGTCTACGCAGCTTTTGAAAGCTGTCAAATTCATTCACAGTGCCGGCATGTGCCATGGAGGTGAGGGCACTTTTCCCTCTGCATTTATGCGCGAGTTGGTGCCATTGTACTCACTTCTTATTAGACATTAGTGGCCGAAACATCGCATTTAGTTGCACTCATTTGTGGAAACAGACTGAGGAGCAGCTTTTTGACGTTCTCGGATACCCGGAAGTTGAGCCGCTGACCCGGATTGACGGCACGCCTTTAGGAAATGGATTGCCGACTCAGCTGGTCAAAGCAGCAGAATGGGATGAGTGGATAGACGAGGACGACGAAGATATCAGGCTCTTTGATTTTGGAGAGGGCTTCCTTCAAGGACAGGAACCTAAAAAGCTGGCCCAGCCAGGGTCATTGAGGGCACCGGAGACGATTTTCACGGACAGTTTTGATTATCGGGTCGACCTATGGCGCACAGGTTGCATGGTACGTCAACATATCTTTCCTTGAAGGAGACATACTTACGGAGATATGAATTGTAGATTTATTCTTTCTTATTCACGACATGGCCATTCTGGTATCTTGGCGAGGATGATGTCCTCATTTTCCAAATGATTGGCTTTGTGGAGAGGTTGCCGACCGAATGGGAGTCTAAGTGGACATCAATGTTGATGAGGTCTAGCCATGATCTGGAGCTAGATGAAGGTAAACAAACTGATACACAAACAAACCTGTCGCTAATTTTGGTCAAAGATTACGAAACGTCGAAGCTTGAACGGAAGTTTGCTGGGTTGGTGCCTAATCCGACACTTAAGCCTCTACTTCATGTGATTCAAGGATTGATGCGATTTTTACCGTCTAGTCGCCTGACTGCAGAAGACGCACTTGATTTGCTTGGCAACGCTCAAGAATAATGAATGAATTCAATAGATCGCTCGTCTAACATTAAGAGCCGCGTCATCCAATACGGCAAATCATCCAACGCAAAACAAAAACGCCAATACCCAACGCCAACACGTTTTTCTATACCACTTCAATAACAGGTATCTCTTTCTTCACGTTTTCAACCCAGTCACGAATATTCTCCACAAAACTCCGGGCAATTCCGGGCTTGATCCCTTTGCCGACGAAGAATTCTGGGTTTTGATCCTTGTAAATGTGTTCAAGTTCAAAGCCATCTGACAGCGTTATGTGACACGCTTGTCGAAATCCAGCTTTGAGGGTATCATCGGTTACATTCGATGCAAGCCACTCACCGTATTCTTTAACAGCTACGTCTTTGAACCCGGGAATCTTCAATGGACCCACATCTCTCAGCCCCGCGGAGGCATCACGCGAGCTAGTGGCCAGTTCAGTGGGATGTGACGAGTGAACATTGATGTTGATGGGTGGGTACGGCGATCCATCCCTAAGAATGTTACCACCTTTACGCTTTTCTTTCTCTTGCCTCTGCTGCTCCTCTATGTAGAGCTCATCCCGGATTTCATCTGGAACGTCTTTGTGCGTCTCCAGGACACCACCTTTCTCCACGTAGGTGACCAAACGCCTGAGAGTTTGCGTTCGGAGCCGATAGTGCTTTTTCCCCATTAGATCCAGCCAGCAGTACGGGCCTAAGTGGCAAGCAGCCGAATCACATTTCATCAAGTCATAGACTCTGCGCCAAATTGATTGCTGGCCGCATGCATTTTCTTCAGCATCTAGCTAGGCATCTCGATTATTAAGCATCCTTCGTGTGACGGAAGATTTACCTCTCTTATCCCCTTTCCGTCCAGCAGATGGAGTAGTGCAATCCTCTACGTAGTTGAAACAGACCCTCAACGTGAGTCTCTTCCCACAACAGAAATGAGTCGACCACACCCGCAACTATTTCTCGATAGGAGCCCAAACAATTTCGGTCCTATTGAAGCGCTTAATCAGATCACGCTGGGAACGATCATTAACTGCCACAACAATCGCCGTGTCATCCACCCTGACCCTCTTGTTGCGGGAGATTTTCTCTTGAAGGATAGTTTATAACTTCTTTTCCAGGAACAACTGCCAGTAGGCGCTCGGGGCCAATACCAGGTCTTCTTCTGTGTCCCTTACCACGGCCTTATTATTGAGGGTAACACGCCATTCTATAAAGTAGTGGATACAGCTTGGTGGATACTCGTCGTAGATCTTATCCGCATCCCACTCAGATTCCTGGAGCAGAGGTATAGTATTTGGTTGAGGTCGGCCTCTGGTGTTGGGCTCATCTTCGAGCGAGATAGACGGTGAAGGACTACAGTCGGACTATGTAGCATAAGGGCTGCGGAAGTTTCCCGGGGTAGGGGCGTATTGTGAATCTTGTTCCCATAGTTCGAGCTCTTGGGGCTGAGACATGTAATCATCGTGGTATGGGCTACCGTTCATATCTACACACGATCAAGGCCCTAGAGGTCTATCAGCATAGGTGGCCCGTGCCAGCTGTGGGTAGACGCCCAACGATGAATAAAAGCGACGGAAGCGAGCAAGAGCCGTGGGAAGCATGAACGAGAACCATATTAGCCTACCGGGGTTAGTCTTCTACAGCAGTAGTACGGCTTTCGTCATGTAAGAGGTACTATAGATGAAGACGAAGACTACGGGGAAAAGGAAGAAAGGGAGTGGGCGTGGATCAAGCCAGATTGCCAGATCTCCCCCACCTCTTCTAGATCCCTTCCTAGAACTTTCCATGGGAGAATACGGTAATTTACAATGACCCATGGCCATTACAGTCTAATACGTTCTATACCACAATCCTCCTTGGCAGGCGTTGTTTTCATAGTAACCTTATATAGCCTAGCGTCGTTATAGGTACGGGCCGAGAAACAAAGCGTGTTTGTCCCAGGGGGGTAAACTGTTTTCGAATTTAGTTTTGGCCGGAGGCCACTTCGGTAAGTATGGGTTGCCCCATGCCGGAAACCGTAATTACGGTAACTTTTGTGATCTACCTGAAATACATCAGATTAATAAGGTGGGGACGTTTCTTGACCTAATGCAGTTTAGCGCAGTCTGAGTGGGGCGCTGGGAAAGAAAGCCTGTGTGTCTGGGGGGTAAACTGTTTTCGAATTCTACTGTACTTGCTTTGACATCTTGACACAGATAAATTTTGTGTATGCAGCCATTAAACTGGATGTATGTTGGGTTCCAAGCGGTGAAGACGACGGTTTAGCTTTCGTTTATCTACAAACCTAGGATGCAAACGCTCCTGGTATCATTTCAAGAACGCATGGTGCTTACAATCTCAGTACATGCTAAGAGAAGAGTCGTTGGTTTTTCACCGAGACACTTTTCCAACTGCAAGGCTTTCGCGCGTCGGAATGGAGGGAGTAGGGTTACATTGCTAAAAACTAATGAGAAGGGCTCCAGCCGACCATCAATATATGAATGCGGATATTCCAATCAGTCTTCTAGTCCATAGTACTCTCTTCTTGAGGTTCCACGGCATCTCTCGAGGCTCTCATTCAAGTATAAGCATTCCTGACCATGCTATTCAAAAACCGGATTGGCATGATTGTGGCAGCCGCTATCACGTCAGCACAAGCGGCCACTCTCCTTCTTCCTGGATTTCAAGGTCGTCAACTTGAAGCAAGGATTTTAACACAGGTATTTGGGGGAATAGATACATCACGTAAAGACGTGGCAAAAGACTGATCGGGTTCCAGAATGAAAATGTGACAACTTTGGTGGTGACCTGTCCCCAGTCTGTGGCGGCTTCCGCCTGCGGCATTTCTCAAGAAGGCATGACAGCCATTGTCGCGCGAGACTTTGCAGAATTGAGACATGCCAACAAAAGGAACAGGTTTGTCGAAAGTGCAGATTCCCCAATTATGCGAACTAACAGCACTATCTTAGTATCGCTTCGATATCCTGCGACGTTAGCGGAACAACATATGCATCCTGTCAAGCTCAGCAGACAATGTTCGTTCATGGCATCTTAGCACCGAAGGACCTCAACTGGATGGATATCCCGGTAGTCTCTGCAGAACCGAACTCAATCTTTGGTAACGAATCTCCAACATCCTCCCCCGATATGGAGACCTTCAAACGCCCTGCAACGATTCCGAAGATGACTGCATGTGCTGAAGTACCTATGACCAGGAATATGGCAACCATTTTTTCCAGAAGTTCTTGGCCATTTTGGAGTGTAACAGCTTCAGTTATAATGATTCTCATAGGATTCACGTTGCTCCTTGTTTGATATATTAGGAGCATCCCGATATTTCCTCGGTTGGCTCAATGAGCATGATGAATCTTGTGCGAAAATTTCGAGTTGCGCTTTATTAAGGGCAAAGTAAGAAGCATAAAAATTGCCCTATGCTCCATATTGACCAGGTCCGCGGTGATGGAACAGCGTCTTGGGATACATAATAGGCACTAATAGTAGCTCTAGTCCCTCCAAACGACAAGAAATGCGCCATACAGCACATGTCTAACTAGATTTATACAATCTGGAATGGCCTATATTCATTCTTGTCCCCTTGTTCGTGCCTCGTGTTTATCAAAGAATCTCATCCTAGGGCCTCTCATATGTAGTAGCTTTGGTATTTGGTCGCTGAGGAAAAGCTGTGCTTTTTCGGGGAGACGGTGTACTGATAAGACCCAAGCATCCACGGACCGTCACTAATTGGATCAAGAAGTATAGGAACACATTCGTTCTCCTGGCTAAGTACAGTACCCCGCTCCTAGCCCCTCATTTTAGCAGCGGATTAGCGCCTAAGTAATCTGAGGATAATCGATCTCACTTCATAAACAACGTTGAACGAGGTCTGTTACGTAGCTTATTCTTTTGCGATATGGAGCCCATCTCTTGAATCAAGCATCTATCGGTAGCCCGCATGTCTCTCGACTCTTCGGTCAGTGTGAGCTGGTTCGAAATGATCCGTGGCAGGGGCTCGTGTGTCGCCCAGAGCAGCCTATTGGAGAAGGAAAGAGGGCGATGGTGAGTCAGCGGAGGATTCCGCGGTCACGGGACAGACTTACCACGGGGAACTGTGCGCCGCGTTCTGCTAGGTCGGACTGGGGCCGGCAGTCTGCGGCAGCCACGGTCCGCTTGCTGTCCATGTAGCATTAATATTTAGGCCATGTATGTAGGGTGGCTTCTCTACCCTTCAAAGTCTGATTTGGTCACCGGAAATATCGGTGGGACTTTTCTGGCACAAAGAAATGCCCATTTCATAGCCAAGGCCACCGGCCGGTCATATATTTGAACTTGATTTTGCAAAGGATCCTCGCTCACGGGCACTAGTTGATGGTCCTTTTGTCTGGGTACCACCCTGTTCACCACCCTCTGTGCTCTTCCTCGTTTTGTACTCATGTCAGTGACTTGATGGCGACCTCAGTCTAGATGATTGAACCGTGACCTATGCACCCTCAATAAGACAATGATCGCCCTTCCGGCCCTGAAGCAACGCGGTGGAGAGTCAAATTCGTCGCCTGGTGGGTCCAAATGGTGACTCACCGAGACCCGCATGGGTTTATCGATCTAAACCGCCCGCAGGAAAAAGTATTTGTAGTGGACAATGATTGATCCACGACCGATAATGATATTTATTATAAACTACCTGAGGTCATCGGCGTGGCTAAAACCAGCGCTTCAGTCATTGTCTTAGCGGGGGGGGGGGGGCGGTGTGTAGAAGACGGCTGCTTCAACGGACTGCTTCCAATACCGGCTTTCTTTCCACGAATTACGGTCAAAATTTCGTTCCTCCACGAACATACTGTGACAGCCACCGATAGGTAGATCTTTGGTATCAAATACAAACTTCACCGTCCACCAATGTATTTCCCGAGACATTCGGAAACAGGACGCTTTTGGGCCTTTTTTATCATCTGCATGTATAGAAGAGCCTGGCTTCCGGCAGAGCAAAATCATTGGAGCACGGAATGAGTGTGATCAAAGCTCCTCTGCGACGCCACTTCAGCAGTAGTGTGAATTTGGGAAGGTACATTGCCATATAGAAAAGAAACAGTCAAGAGTTACGAACCAGATGGAACAAGCACAGCATTGATTATATTCGGTATTTTGTTGGGCTAGACGTTAAATCGCTAACGCATGAATTTGAACGAGTCGCTCTAATCTCAGGACTATAAGCAGCGTATGTAGCCTCTTCGTCCGCAGATCCATGATTCTACTATGTTGTATCAATTAGAATTGACCGCGAGGTAAATTTATCTTCATATATCATTTCTAGTTTCCTGAAAGGCGACTTAAGCCAGACTCGGCTAGATTCCATTTCAATATAGATGCCAAGGCCTTTTATTGGGGGGTTCAACGGATAACCGTTCTTCCCGCCCTTCCCGCGAGTTCTATAATAAATTCGATGGACGTTATGCCAGTCAGAAGCTGATAAAGTGGCATTTCACATAACAGTGTATTGAATTAGTTTCATCATATCGGTATGGAGATACTTTCTGAATCAGAGATCCCCCGTTTTAAAATGACATGGAAGCGAGCTTGCTCAAAATACATCTATTGGCTTCTACATATGGAATTTTCTAGAATCTATATTGTGTGGAATCAGAATTGAAGTGAGTAACTAACAGGTCCGTGCTACGTGTGATATTCCGTACCACAAGACAAGACCGTTCAAAAAAGGGACAATCTGTAGTCTGAGGATAACTGACTACCCTGCTCCTAGGAATTGACTGTGTTTTAGTGTTGAGCGGAATGGCCCTTAAAAGGCTGGCTAGTTCGGGCGTCGTGATAAGCAAGAATTATAATATATATAGTCCCATTTACCTCTAGTCAACATCTATCATATTCTATGCAGTTCTACCGACGCAATCTTTCTTATAAAAACGGATAAAGCAGTTCTAGAATGAAAAGATCTCTCAATCCTCACGCTCATACCAACCCACCAAAAGAAAGGGGACAAAAAAGGGACAAAAGAAGCACCAAAACTGTCTCGTCTATTCGAAAGCTCCCTGGGGGGCTGCTCGATCAGATCATTTCCTACGGCTTCGTTACAGTAGTATTCGAAATCAGTTAAACCTCCACACTCTTGTGACTTGATTCCCGGAAAATAATTCCGAAAGGCGCTAATCTGTTTTGGATCACCGCCTCCTATTTTCGGCAGAACTGTCCTGGTAATGATACTTGAGTCACCGTTATAGTACCGTAATAGTACAGTAATATTCAAAATCAGCTTTACAGTGGTGTTGCATGAGTATTTGACCTTGGGTACTTCGGCCCAGGACCCACTTTTTAATACTCTCTGGCAGAAACCTCGGAACGTAACTATTGGTACTATTTAGTTCACAAGTTCTAGCTCTGGTAAGGCTGTCAAGCTTTGGAACCCTTTTCCCACGTATAGAAGGCATGATTGATTAAGAAAACCGCGAAAATTGATCGAAAACGCATTGATATATAGCGTATATAATGTGAAGGGCTGTAGCGACAACTGTTCAATTGGGGCTAGGCCTGCATGCTGTTTACAACAATCTTAAGGAGAGGAAGCTATCTGTGCGTCGTTCGTCTTGTTTACCCTGGGGAAAGGTCACGTGCTACGCGCGATAGCCCGGGACATTGGTTTCCTGCAGGAAAAGGTCTCGTGACATCACGTGATATATCCACGGGCCTGGGCCCGTTACATATAATAGCGTGTTGAGATGCATATACTAATATAGTAGACGGTCTATCACAGCGATCAGACCTTAAAGTGGGGCCTAATGTACCCAAGGTCAAATACTCATGCAACACTCTCTCTCAATGTTTCCCAGGGTCCCACCCGAAGCACACTATTCCAAATTAGGCTAGGTTTCCGCCCACATCGCTTTCGCCAATGTACCTACCTTTGATGGGTCTTAGTAAATTACAGTATTTCCAGCGCCTCAAATTTTAGGAAATTCCTTCAGATGATGCATTTTACTGTACATGAAGCTCCTATACACGTGCTATCTGTACTCCTCCTTCACTTGTTCTCCTTGAGCTTCATCCGTCCGAGAATGACGTAAATCCCTCTTCATAACCCTCATTACAGCGTACATTGTTAAGATCGATTTCGCGTCGTCATTTCGGATGTACCCTTTACACGCTTCGATCCTTTATTTTCGGGTGGCTGCCCACGTGTAAGAGAAAGACTAGTTTGTCGGGATAGAGCCTCTAAACCAGGTAAGGATACAATGACTTGGAGAGGCACAAGGAGATTGAATTGTCTTCGTAGATATAGATACAGTACTGATTCTTGGGGAAACTTCCGTAGTCCAAGAATCAGGACGGTATTTCAATACCTCAAAGGGCCGATCCAGTATGGAAAACCGGATTCCTCTCCTCTCCATGCGGGGTAATCCTTTGTGGGATCCTTAGGCACCCACAGGTTTTATCCTTTACACCACGGTCTGATCGCTAAAATAACCAGATAAGACACATTCTTGTGGGGGGTTTTTAACTCATTTTTCTAGTTTGAGTCTTAACAGTGATGTAATCATTGCGCGTGCAAACAAGAACACTTAACGTCATCCCTCCCAAAGTTCCCACATTCCAGATAAGCCTCCGCTAGGGCCAAACTAACTCTTTTTGATCCCCGAGCAGAGTCGCCGACCAGGAATTATTTTTCTTCGCAAAATCACTGTGCATTGTCGTAATAATTAGTGAAATTTGATGAAAACGGCCGATTGTCGACAATATACGTAGGGAGCTTGATGGGGATAACTAGCTACTTGAAATATTCCCATTTATCACGTCTTCTTTATTATCCTACCCTTAGGTCTTGTTTTCGATTCGGCGACTGGAACCCGTGGCTTGGCCCACCAAATCCCGATGTTTCCACGTCTGACAAATTATCCTACCCTTAGGTCTTGTTTTCGATTCGGCGACTGGAACCCGTGGCTTGGCCCACCAAATCCCGATGTTTCCGCGTCTGACAAACAAGATTTAAAAGGCTGAAGCCGCCCCTAAATACTCTACAGTATAAGTGTAACATTCAGTTCCTTGATAATGGATCCCTCTGCTAACTGTGCGAATTGCCAGGCCGCAGGTCATCTTTGCTCTGATCATGGTGGCAGAGAAGAGACCAACCATGATCTTGAAGTTATGATCCACGCAAAAAACCAGAAAGGTCTGAGACGGGTCATAGTCAACTTCACTCCATCGTACGTTCAATACTCCTTCTGTTCGGGCAATTACTGATTCCGCTTGAACAGTTGGGTAAGAATCAGCTGTGTCGTTATCTCAACCTCATTTTCTCACCTTTTTCTAGTTCAGTGCTACCATGGGAACAGGTATTGTTTCGATTCTTCTTCACAACCTTCCTTATAATGGCACTTGGGTATATTGGATCTCAGTGGTTGTTTTCGCTTTTAATGTGTTCCTGTTCTCCCTGTTCAGCCTTATTTCTCTGGCTCGATATACTCTCTTTCGAGGTATCTGGACAGCAATGTTGAACCATCCTACGCAGTCGTTGTTTCTCGGTCTGTATCCCTATTTTCTCTACGGACAAATTTCATAACATTGCTGACAAAAGATCAATAGGCACATTTCCTATGGGCCTTGCAACAATCATTAACATGATCTGCTTCGTGTGTGTTCCCGCGTGGGGACAATGGGCTGCCACTTTGGCATGGACACTTTGGTGGATTGATGCCGTTATCTCAATCGCAAATAACATGTATCTTCCTTTTGCTATGTATGAAACATCAGTACCCCCCCCCCCCTTTAAGAATTTACTAACACCGAATTGCAGAATGTCTCGGCATTCCAATCAACTTTCCGGAATGACTGCGGCCTGGTTGCTGCCTATTGTTTCTACCATTGTCGCTGCCGCCTCCGGTGGGATTGTGGCTTCGATATTAGAAAACGAACAACACGCTCTCTGGACTATCATTATCAGTTATATACTTTGGGGAACTGGAGTTCCTCTGGCAATGATGGTGCTCGTCATGTACTTTCATCGCCTTACGATACATAAGATACCGCCCAGAGAAGTTATCGTGTCTGTTTTTCTTCCATTGGGACCATTAGGTCAAGGTTCCTTTGGTATCATGCAACTTGGAAAAGAAGCAATGAGGGTCTTCCCTGACACAAACAGTTTGCCTGCGCAAATTTCAGCTGGTCCTATACTTTATATTTTTGGCTTTGTGGTCGGACTTATAATGTGGGGATTCGGGCTTGTGTGGCTTTTCTTTGCGCTGGCCTCTATTACTCGGTCGAAATTCCCGTTTAACATGGGTTGGTGGGGATTTACTTTCCCGCTTGGGGTATTCACGGTTGCAACAACCACAATTGCAAAAGAGCTTCCTTCGTTATTTTTCAAGGTCTTAGGCACAGTGAGTTTTCGTATCAGATTTGGAGTGTATAACGGTTTCTGACACAAATAGATATTTTCTGTGGTAGTCGTCCTACTTTGGATTGTTGTTAGCATCGGCACGCTTATTCAAACCTGGCGAAGGAAGATATTTGTTGCACCATGTCTCAAAGAATGGGAGAGGTTGGAAGCTGAACGTTTTGGGATGCATTCTCGGGTTTTGAGAGATGCCTAATGAGCCTTGGGTAATGTGATTTACATCGTGCCATTGATGTTATTCTGAAAGCGTACATCATAGCTATAGTTCTTGATTTGGCATAGAGCACTCTCCTAGTCGCCACAGCGAGGAACTCACATACGCATGAGGTATGGGAACTAACATAAGACTACCGCCACCCCAAACAGCATGATCCCATGACTTTCATCGTTATTACTAGTAGACCTCGCCATATTGCTTTTTTTGGGTACTAATAGACGAGAACATATATTTCAGAAATACAGATGTAATGCCTTGAATTATCTACGGGCTCTGGCGTAATATTGTATATATTATTGTCATCTATTCCAACCATTGCTACGCTGATACAAGTGGAGACGAATGGAATTCTTTTGGCCCACACGGGGCACCTGCAGTCTGAACACTGACGATGTAGGCCTCGTTGACGGAGGGCTACAGCGCCGTGAGGGCTGCAGGCGGGCCCGTGGCACTCCGTGTATTCTAGGAGAAAACATAGCTTATACAGGAGGATACGTGGTACATACAAGAGGGTTCCGCGGTGGGCGGGAAGAAACCGTTGCGGCGAGAGCCCGGCTCTCACTCGAAACGGCGATGTCCCTTTCGAGGGAGGGGATATCCAAGTGATATTTGTGTGCGATGTCCCGCACGGAATATCGTGGACCCGATGCAAGGGGTTCTCACAACAGTCCCGAATAGAACCTATCATCTATTCCAACCATTGCTACGCTGATACAAGTGGAGACGAATGGAATTCTTTTGGCCCACACGGGGCACCTGCAGTCTGAACACTGACGATGTAGGCCTCGTTGACGGAGGGCTACAGCGCCGTGAGGGCTGCAGGCGGGCCCATGTGACCCGGTGGGCCAAAAGAGGATGGTGGAGGGGCCGGTGGTACGGAAGATGAGACTGGAGTTGGATGACCAGTCTGGAATTGACGGTTCCAGGCGTACAGTGTTGTCGTAGGCGTCGTAAAGTAAAGACGGAAAGCTTCCGAAGACCATCGCCCAAGGGCTTGGATGTGATCATTTCTTAAGCCTGCATCGAAGGCGTGTTGTGCTGCCCCTTTCCTGAAACTGTGACCCTTAAGTCCCGTGGTATCTTCCCCGGCACGTTGGAGCTTAGAGATAACCGCACGTTGGAAGGCGGATGAAGAAAAAGGCCCGGTAGAGAGCGTAAATAAGGGGGCAATCATGGGTTGGGAGTCATGGAGGAATAGCTTAGAAAGGCCTTCGACGGGGCAGGCTGCATCGTTTGTCGCTGCTAGGACAATATTGACACCTTCGTGGTTTCTGTCGGTCTTGCTTCTCTTCAAGGTAAGGAGGACGTGGTCCATGGTGGGGGAGAACCTGATATCCCCCCGGGTTAATTTGGTACCGGCGAAGACCTGGGTATTTCTACGGTCAGCCGCTGAGTATGTGAACTCTCCGACCCGAAGAAATCCGGCGAAGGCGACGCGGGCAGCCACGGCAAGATTGAGATCATTTTTCTGGGCTTCCGAGAGCTTTAGCGGTTGGGCAGGGAGATGTGAGATATTCCCTGAAAGGGTTATGACTGAGGCACGAGAGATTGGATTGCGAATCCGCTTTGGACGGGGAGGTTGCAGTCGGCGAGCGCCATCGACCATGCGACGGAAATGCTTTGCGTGGAGGTCAAAAATGGTGTCAGGTAGACCATTGTCGATGTGATACGCGCGGAGAGCCGAGAGCTCGGACATAGCTGAATCGGGCTTTACCGGTGGGGAACTACCCGCGCCAAGCAGACGTTCCGTTAGCCAAGTGCAGATCGCCGGGGCTGTTGCTGGCCACGGCTGCACTCCAAGAAGAGCACATGTACGGGCGTATGAGTGCTGCGCGGAACGATATCCTCTCCTAGTTCCCTCGGCGAGACCATTCCAGACCAGCTTTGCATGGCCAGCATTCACGAAAATACGCTGGCCGGAGAACCAGGCTGGCGGAGCAAGGGAAAGGAGCTCGTCCACTGTGGGCAAATGTTAGCGATGATTTTATAATCGGAACGGGATAGTGCATCAGCTAGCAGGTTCTCCGATGAAGGTAGCCAGTGTGGCTGGACTTCGATGTCAAGGGCGGCTGCTATGCTGAAAAGCATGAGCAGATGGCGATGAGCCGGCCCACGAAGTGCCTGCTTAGACAGGCCATGAAATGCGACAGCGCTGTCCGTGAAAGCGAGGACACGATGATGAGCCCAATGGGGGCTGTATAGGAGGAAGGCCTGCAGGATCGCGGAGACCTCCTTGATGTTAATGTGGGCCACGTCGCCGCAGGCGGAAGAGGCGTCCACAATAGCCGCGTGGGTGGAAGGCAGGTACGGCGCTGCAGACATCCAGTCCCTGGCGGAGTCCCGTGAGGGCGGTTTGAAGAAAAAGAGGCCCAGACCTGAGTCGCACGCGTCTGTGTAGAGGGCAACTAGGGGGCGGCTCTTCTCGAAGAAATGAATACCGTTGAATAACGGGAGAGTGTCCCTCCACCACGCGAGATCCTCGCGGCTATCATGGGATAGGCGACGGACAGAGCGCTGGTGAGGTGGGAAGGACGCGAGGTCGCTATAGAGCGACTGGAGGCGGGCTCTACCAAGACGGATCACCGTTGAGCAGTGTTGGAGGAAACCGACTACACGTTGAAAAGCTTTATGCGAGACACGATCCAGCTGTAGTAGTGACGCGGCCTCGGAAGATGCGCGTGTTAACTTATCGCGAGGCATGCGGGCCTGCAGGAGTGTTGTGTCGATTTCGACCCCAAGGACACTGACCACAGTGCCCGCGGCATCTTTCAAGTCATTCCGCGGGATGCCTAACGCATCCGTGAGAGGGATATAAACGGCATTGAAAGCGGTGAGGGCTTGAGAGACATCTCCAACGGAGGAAGGAAAAATTGAGATGAAATCGTCAAGGTAATGAACGATAAATGCCAAGGGCAAGTAGGCAGTTAGGAGCCAATTAAGGGCCTCGGCAAAAAGATTGAAGATGAAGGGTGCAGTTGTAAGGCCGAATGGGAGGCAACACTCCATGTAAGTCTTGCTATCCCACGAGAAGGCTAAGAGGGGCCGGTCACCTGGGGCGACGGGGATATTGCGGAAGGCATCCTTGATGTCGCGCTTGATGATGTAGCATCCTCGTCCAGAAGTGAGTATGAGATCAAGGATATTATCCATGGAGATATATTGTATAGCGGAAGCAGAGTCGGGGATGGACTCGTTGACACTGCGACCCGGCGGGTAGGAAAGATCGTGTATCCGGCGCCAGCCCCCGTCGTGTTTAGGCACAAGCCCTAATGGGGAAACAACGACGGGGCCAGTGCATAGTTGCACCCGGCGGCATAATAGGTCATCCGAGAGCTTCTGGGTGATAAAGGAGGGTTCCTCAATGCGGTGATTAGGGGTTCGACGGTATCTCGGCGGGGTCGTACAACCGAGGCGGCAGCCAAACGTAAGGATGCCGCTGCAAATCGTTCCTAGATTGCCAGGATAGTGTTCAAGGAGGGTTTTCCATGCCGAGGCAATGAAGGGAGAAGCGGAATCACCCATGGGCGGGAGGGAGGGGTCGAAGACCTCAAACTGAACACATGTATTGGGACGCCGGGCTGGCCAGCTAGTTGGCGGCGACAGCGAGTGACCTATATCGGGGCCGGCCCCGGCGAGCTCCTAACTCGATGCTTTCAATTTGCAGCTTATCACGGAATGGTCGTTACCGCACTTGGAGCAGACGTGTCTGCGGTGACACGTTCGCCAGTGGCAGCCGGCGGAAGAGTTAAACTTTTCACAGACGACGGTATCGTTATTTGGGGCAGCGGAAGAGCGCGTTGACCGGGTGGTTGAGGTAGTCGGCGCCGTCTTCGCTGGAAGCACGTTGTCAGGGCGTAGGTAAGAGCTTTCGAGGGCTTTGCCAATTTCCCAGTCACTAAGTGAAACGGTGAGGTCGCCTTTATCGATGACCATCTGGTGGTGGTCCAGGGCCATTTGCAAGATACAATCCTGCCATTTATATGCCCTAGCAAGGTCACAAACGCGGCGGTAAAAAAGGACCATTCCACTGATGCATAAAGGGTGCTTGGCAGCGAAAAATTCACACCAGATAGCGACATAATTGCTGAAGCAATGCGCCCAGAGGGATGCGTCATATCCCCAGTCCTTGATTGAAACCACTTTGCGGAATTGCAGACCAGATGATGTGGATTTTAAGTCAAAAGACTCGCCATCCAGAGCTGAGGCTTTGAACTCAGGGCTACGAAGTTTTATGAGGTCCTTCTTCGGGCGAAAGGTGTGCTCAAAAACGGCTATAATGGCAGCACGGTCTAGACCGGGGAAGCGGGGAAGGACTGGCAACACAAGAGACGGGACCCTACCGTCGTTGGCATCCTCCTCCGTAGTGAGATCTGTACGTGGGCGCTTGCGCTGTCCGTCGGCCGCAACAAGGGAAGCGGACACAGTAGACATAAATGAGTCCCGTTGGGTATCAGAGAGGGAATTCCATATATACTCCGGTGGGTAGATCGAGGAGCCCGGGGCGGTCTGTCCCCCAGGAGTAGGACTGGGGGCCTCGGGACTACGTCGCACCATTGCAAGAGGAACTCTTGTGAAAAGAAACCGTTGCGGCGAGAGCCCGGCTCTCACTCGAAACGGCGATGTCCCTTTCGAGGGAGGGGATATCCAAGTGATATTTGTGTGCGATGTCCCGCACGGAATATCGTGGACCCGATGCAAGGGGTTCTCACAACAGTCCCGAATAGAACCTATCATTTATTTTTCCTAGTGGGTTTTGGTCCGGGGGCGAAGCCCGACCCACGGTTTATCAGGTACCTCGACGAAGAGGCCGCCACAGAAAAAATGGATAGAAATATTGGATTTAATCAGTTTCATTGGTTCGCTTTTTTATTAATTTGTTCTAGTTTATGTATACATTTCCATCTAGGGAAAGAAAATTTCCGGCACCCCAGCTCAAAATATTAACTCTCGTGCGAGCTACAGTGCTATCAATAAATAGGCTTTTCGTATGAGATGAGCTTCCCGATCCCCGACAAAAACCCTGAAACACCGATGCGTGACTGTCGTCATCCAGTAAACGCATAGAAACAGTTTACTCAAAATCTGATGACGGTATTATGACTTCAGTTTTCAACCAAACTAGTTTGATTAATAGTGAGTGCCAAGGTATAAATTGATCGGTCGCACTTGGAAATCTACTCTTTAATTCATTTTCGGGCTCTGATCGGTTCCAGTATCAAAATCTCCGAGGTATCTTCTCATCATGTCTAGACCAAACCCAGAATACAAGCCGCTGCACAAAATTTGCGAATTTCTCAATGCGTTACACATCTATACGGATTCCGCCAGGGAGAATGTGACACGTTACATCGAGGCAACGCATTATTGCTCTCATGTTCAAAAGGATCTGAGACAGTGTTTAATCTACGATTCACCTGACAAAGAAGCTCGCCTTATAGGCGTGGAGTATATGATTCCGAAGCATCTTTTTCTGACCCTTCCAGACGAGGAGAAGAAACTCTGGCACTCACACGACTTCGAGGTTAAGTCAGGCATGTTGATATTGCCGAAGCCCGAAAATGCGGATCCGGATGAGTGGGAGAAAGCGGAGAAGGAGGCCATGAAAGAGATAGTGGGACTTTATGGCAAGACGTGGCACTTTTGGCAAGTGGACCGGGGGGATTCACTTCCCCTAGGGTATCCAATTCTCATGGGTTCCCTCACGGATTCGACACAAATCGACTTGGACTCGGTGCTTGCAGAACGAAATGATCGATTTGGTGTTGATCATCAAACAAAGGCCAAACACAGAAATGACATCCAACCTCATGACGTTCACCCACTAGCAGATAGCTGGTGGGGCAAAGAAAGGGAGAAATAAAAAGCTTTAATTTCAGGGCAATGGGACATCAACAGCAATTGTCGAGGTTCCCCTTTTCTTTCTTCTCTGTTGAGAAACCATAATCACAAAAATGTCTCTATATCGCATTCTATTTCCGTGAATTTAAGAGCTTTAAAAGTCCACCGCGATCAAATTAAATACACGGCGTAGCCGATTACTTTTGATGACTTAAAAGGCATTTCGATATCTCCCCAACTTTTCCTGACATCCTATAGGATGAAGACGTTTCGATGAAGAGACCGAAATTTGGAATGGGTCAGTTGACAGCTATATAGATAATGAAGGTAATACGAAGACCCATTCGTCGTAGAGATATTGTGCACTTACCTGGCAACTCGCTCTACTTTCGGTTCTGATATTGATTGAGCCCGAGGGACAGACACTGTCGCAGATTGTTTGCGTCATTGACAATGCCATTTGGTTCATACATCCTGACAATGCCGGTAAGGGTTCGGCTCTGTTCCATTGAATCTATGGCAAACAATACTACTATTCATCTCCACAGTCATCGTGCCGCTGAACCCAATGGCCAATATCGCTCACAATCCGCCGGGCGGTGGCAGAAGAAATCTGCCTCTTGGCACACCATGTACAGTGGGGTTTCATAAGTTTGAAACCATGATTTTACCGCCTAATTTTCACCGCCCTCACCGCCTACCTCGCCTACCCACCGTGTTTCTACGCGTCCTGTAAAACTGCAGTTTATCTGCTGCTCCTACGCCTTTTTTTTTTGCTATTATGCCGCCTATTCGTTCAGCAAGGGCCCCAGTGGCACCTCCACGCCGCCCGAGATGCCAGCTAGACGCATATATGCGTACGAAGCTTGTTGAATTGAAGACTGTCGCTGGTTGGACGTATGAACAGATACACAAAGAGTATCCGTCTATCCCAATTGGCACAATCAAGACTACTGTCTATCGCGCAAATAAGAGGGTTAAGAACGAGACATCGCCTCGATCTGGGCGCCCGCGGAAGCTAGATGCAGACGATAAAACAAAGCTTCTTGATGCTATCGATACAAACCCTCGAATTACCTACGTTGATCTACTCGCTACGGTCGATAATAAGGTTAACCGAACTAGACTGCGACATCGCCCGTCCATGGGCCTTAAGGTAAGGCCCAACGCCCGTCCACAGTGGGCCATGGGCGTTTTGGGTTTGGGTACGCCCGCCCATTTTTGTCCATGGGCATTACCCACGATGGGCTGGGCAATGCCCACTCGCTTAATTTTACATTAAATCGCCCAGAATGGACGCATAATTTGCTGAGTTATCAGGATAGATTACTGTTTTTTACCTATGTTTAGACGATAACATTGTTTGATCTTAGTATAATCCGAAAAAGCTTGTTGAAATTTCTTGAAATGATCCTGTATTAACTTTCTACTAGTACTCTTATATCAAATTATTATCTGAATAAGCTATTAGCCTTCATGGGTGAGTGGTTTCGTTAAACTGAGGTTAAAGTTGTCTATAACAGTTAGAAATATATATTTGTAGAAAGTGAGATTATCCTACAAAATGATCAAAATTATTTTATTATTTTCAGAAATTCTAACCAGCTACTCATTTTAGATATTATGAAATGCAAATGATTTATCTAAATTGATTTGATAGTTTTCTGAAATAATTCTACTAGAATACATGTTAGAAGTTGTGTTAATCGTGATTTCTAAATAGTTCATGAGAAAATATTTTTTCTACACTCTGCGGGGCATTCAGGTCAGGTAAATTTTGAAGAAAAATGGGCCTTTGGGCAACGCCCATGGGCGTGCCCATGGGCATTTACTTTTGTAACCAATAAGCATATACTATTGTAGTGGGTCTATATCTTATCTTATGATAGATCACCTTAACTTCGAATTTCCCCCTCTAACACTGACATATCCCTGTTGACTACCTTACGTCAAACTATTCAATTATTCTAAGGTACGCACTTTAGGAATTTCTCATCTCTAAGTCTCCATTTACCCTCATTTCTTTATCCCTTACATTTTGGCCAGTTTTCATCTAAATTATGTCACTTCTTGATAGTCACAACGCTGGCCCGTTATCAATAACCGCAGACGAAGATCCAGACCTTCTTTACCTACCGAACGCGTCCTCGAGCTTTGATGAAAATCTTTTGACAGCTTTCCAAAGCAGCCAACAGACCGCTACCTCAATACCTGATTCTGATTTCCCATTACCAGTATTAGCGCCATTCTCTCTCCAGCGTGTTGGCCCCGATCGGAGGAAGCTATTCATTCTATTCAACACAATGAATAACCATACAAAACAAGAATTCATCAAATGGTGGCAGACAACAATGCACGGTAGCGAGCCAGACACACAACATAATATCCGATGGGAAGCCAAGCATATTTCAGATGCCTAGAAGAACTTCGACCAAGTTGCGCATCATATTACTGGCGAACCGATGGTAATGTGCCGGTTATGCGGGACGATACTCCCCCATCCACACCATAAGAAGAGCGGTACAAATACAATGAAGCGCCACGCTTCTTCAGAAAAATGCCGGAAGGGAGCTAAGAGCCCAGCAACTCAACAGACCATACAAGCGACAATGAAACATGCAGCAGTAAGGTCACCTTTGATAAGCTCTAATTACTTCTACTAAAAAGCATACTGACTAGACTATCAACTCATCGCCCCAAACTCCATTTTCTACCGATAAGTGGGAACGAGAGCAGATCGAATTTATTACTGCTTTTAATCTTCCCTTCCGAAGCCTTGCGCGAAGGCAACTCGTATCCCTTATTAAGATGGCCCAAATGGCGCCATCTGAACCTCCTTTACTTCATCCACGGACTGCCCAGCGCCGGCTACAGAAACTAGTCCAGGAAGAGCTTCATTCAATTCTCTCTACCCTCCCACTTAACGCAAAGCTCTCTATCGCACTTGACTGCTGGACATCACCCTCGAAACACGCTTTTATGGCAATCACTGGCTATTTTATTGATCGAAACTGGAACTACCGCGAAATCCTACTTGGATTTGAGCCACTTGATGGACCACATTCAGGGCTTAATCTAAGTAATGTCCTTATCGAGCTATTCAAGAAGCATGATATTACTGCCCGGGTTCTCGCAGTCACATCTGACAATGCTTCAAATAATACCACTCTAGTAAAGGCGGTCCAGGAGTCAATCGATTCTCTTCAATTACCAGGTAACCCAGTTATTGTTCGCATCCCTTGTCTCGCCCATGTGATCCAGCTTAGCCTTCGTGAGCTACTTGGGTCTGTCAAAGCCGATCCACAAAACGATGAGGTAGATAAAACTATCTCTGATGTACAAGCGCAAGCCCGCGCCCTTCGCGCAACCCAAAGCCAGAAAGCGATTGTTTCAACTCTTGTAAAGGTACGCTACCTACTCTACTTCTTATTATATCATACTAAATGTCTATGAGATCCGGGGTCTTGCTGTGTATATCAACCACAGCCCTCAACGTCGTGAAACATTTTTAAGCCTCCAACCTCAAGAGCCAAGGCTTATTCCAATACAAGATGTCCGAACTCGCTGGAATTCTACCTTTTTGATGCTTCGTCGTGCGAAACGTATATAAAAATACTTCAATCTATACTGTGAGCATATTGAGCGACATGAATTAAAACTCAATAAGGCAGAATGGCGGCAAATCGATTATCTTCTTTTTATCACCGAGCCTTTCTATCGATTTACCACAGTCCTTTCCAAAACAAAGGATGTGACTGTGCATAACGTTTTTCGGGTATATAACGCACTTTTTGATCACTTTGAGAAGTCAATTGAACGGCTTACACCAAAGAGTATCCCTTGGAAAGTGGCTATGCTAAATGCTCTTCATGCGGGTATGAAGAAGCTTTCAGTATACTACACAAAAACCAAAGAGATCCATGGAAGTCTTTACGCTATTGGCACAATTCTAGCGCCACAGCAGAAGCTCGGCTTCTTCTCAAGCAAGACATGGGGTAGATCCGAAGATGACACGGACTGGAGCACATACTACAGGAATGAACTTCATGAGTTTATGAAGCCCTATGCCCAGCAAATCTCTCAAGTCCAGCCACAGCAAGCTGATCAGCTACAAGGGCGATGTCCTAACTTGAGTGCTCTTGAAGATTTATTAGGGTATGGATGTCAACACCCATCTGAAATAACAAGCTTAGACCGTGAGCTTGGCCAGTATCTTGACACCCGTGAGTTTAATTATTCTATATCACTGATATACCACCCAAGAACTCATAACCTATTTAGCAAGGAAGCAAGTCAACCCTTTACTTTTTTGGAAAGAGTATGAACAGGAATTACCTATCCTTGCAAGTGTTGCTCGGGATATTCTCTCGATTCCTGCGACTGGTGCAGGGGTTGAGCGTCTTTTTAACTCCGCACGCGACGTCTGCCACTATCGGCGTGGACAGCTCAATCCCGCAACAATTCAGGACATCATGATGTTTCGGTGTAAATCGAGGTTTGACTTTGAGACTGAGGAGTATGAAGAAGATACTCCACTTATCACAGTACAAGAGGGAGATGAAAAAAAGGAGGCCGAGCTTACTGGCGAAGATCCTGAACCTATCAGTGAGGGTGAGGACTCTTCTGATGACGAGGATTTAAATGATCCTGTCACGGTCATTGAGGATGAGTATATGATGGAAAGCCAGCGGGTTGCCCCTCTTCCTTCTTTACCTACTGTAGTAGTTCCTATTATGTCAGTTTCAATGGGCAAAAGACGACAGCGTAGTGTCTCGGTTGATTCTGATGATGAGACAAGTCCTCAGCTTCCTTGTTATGAGGATGATAGTGGCACTCAGAGGCGCGCTGGGCTACGGGGTACACGGAAGCGAACTAAACCAGATGATGATTAATGGACGTACCATTAGAGTAAAAGATAAATTGTTTTCACCAATTTATCAAGAATTCAAAATAACCATTTCCATGATAAACTATGTAATCCTAATACTCAAAAATACAGAAGAATACTACATAAATAATGCAAGTCACGGGGTGACTAATTTTCGCTGCCAAGAAAGGCCCATGGACGGGCGTAGTGGGCGTTGGGCGTTAGGCCCTACCCCCTAGGCCCGTCTATGGGCAGGCCCGCTATGGGCATTGCCCGCTTATATAATGTCCATGGGCATAGCCCACGCGCCCGTCCATGGGCGATGTCGCAGTCTAGTTCTGGCCTCTGGAATTATATTAAATATCCAATGTTTATTTCTGAACTGCTTGGTTTATGTTTCAAAGCAGAGAGAAAAAGAAATATTCAAGTTTCGAGAAGAGAATCCGGTACTACAGTACTCATTCTATCATAACTCCCAGATACACGATTTTAAGTCTAGCGAGATCTCAATTGGAGAGCGGATGTGGAGACTAAGGCTTTCTAATAATGGCGAGACTTCATCGGTTTTCATTGGCAAAGAGGATGATAATCATGATTATTCGTCCCCATTCCAACGCTTTCTTGCTGATGCGGAAAAAGGGAGGTAAAGCAAAAGCAAGTTTGCCTTACGGTACAGGCGAATTAGAATCATTTTGACTGCTGCTCTCTATGTTATTTCTTTCTATTTCCCCCCTTTCCGCATTATTCTAACAACAATTGTGTTCCTTTGTCTTTCTCAAGCTCTGTTATGAGCAAACCGGAGCCTGATATAGATAGTCAAAGTCATGCCCTGCTTTAAGCTCTTTCCTATTCGGTACTCTTGGATGAGAGAGGCTAGATGTATAAAGTTTAGATGTAAACTCCTGAAATAACAGTACTAGTCATCATTCTCCTTGTGCAAGAAAAACCATGACCGTGTAGCTGGCTTGGAATGAGTTTCACTTGGGCCTTTCATCGAAATACATAACCTTGGTTCCTTTGATATAAGTATTCACTTTCGAATGACAGCATAAGTTGCGGGCTCGTATTTCGCTCCGTACTATACATCAAGACTGTTCAAAACAGAGATGATCGACAGCCTAGCCAAATTTGGCCAAGGTAGTTTCACTATTGATAGCCTATTATCTTGGCGGTGAGGCTTGAATTGGGTTCTCGTTCTCTATGCAAAACACGGAAGCCGATTTCGAATATTGCCGTAAACATCAAAATAGCTCGAGCAGTATCTTGGTAAGATGAATCGGGCAAGTCTTGGCTGTCACGAAAAGTCCGTCTCGTAGAGCACCTGGGGCATCTTTTCGTACTGTTCACGAGTCATTTCCAGCACGCAGTGTCGCAGCGGGCCCTCGTAGGTTAGTAATTTTGTTAGTGGGCTGGCTTGAAGGCGCTTCCCCAAGTGTTCAATATCCTATGTTCAGCAGTTGAAGCACATCTACCATATGCAGCACGAACTTCCCGTATGTCATTCATACTCTTCACCACAAAGCGGGAATATTAACTATGATGACGTAGGTACTGTGTATATTCTGGATTTCAACGCCTTTTCCTCCATCGTCACATAAACCTCTTGGTTTAATGGACCACCTTTCACAGACAAATGCTTCATATCGCGCGCAAGTGATGGATCTGGCAACATTGACATCACAGGGGACCAGCTCATAATACATTCATAGAAGAACGATCTCGGTCCCAACCCACCTAAACACACCCTGATGACGACTGGCCAACGGCCAGCTTTTCCTAGCTTGATATCGTCCTGCCAAAGTCAGTTCTTCTCGCTGATACGGTGTTCGGGAATGATACCTCGGAAAGGCCCTTAGCGCGTCGACGTCGTCGCCGCCCCGTTCTGAGGAAGGATTTCTCCAACGCCAGGGCTCAATTCTCCGCATCCTCGCCCTTTACACAGATAATAAGCCAATCCCCAGCGTAGAAGTGTGCGTATGGGGAATCCGCATCACGCCCGTAGAGAATCTGTTCCGGAAGATCACATTCCACCAACGCTCGAGTACTTCTCAGCAGCTCACAAAATCTACTCGTATCAGGTACGAACTTCATAAAACTGTTGTGAGCGTGCTCCTCGATTTGATCCTGTACCAACTACTAGTCCAGAGCTTTCAGGCCTTGCTTTGTCAGAAATTGACAAAGTCCATCAAGGAAAGGCCAGGCAGACAGTACAGTCAGAAAAGGGCCAGCGGTTTCAGCTTAATTCTTGTTCCACAAATAATTAATATTCAAGACTGAGCTGACTGGCGGACCCCCCTGTATATGTATGACAGTGTCGGCCGTCACATGATATTATATCGGTTCCGCGAGATGCAGTATGCACTAGTACTAGAATAAACCAATGAGGCCATTGCACAATACTTGAGATGTGTATTCCTATATATATCTGATAGCAAAATAAAGGGGCTCTTTCGAGCTGATTCAGCAGTTGATGCCTTGGGAATCAGGTAGCGGTGGATGTTGAATGAAACAAATACGCTAGTAAGAATCCTCTCCACTTTTACCGACATATTAGCCCCTGAGTATCAGTCATGTTATGATTGCCACCTGGCGAACCATTAGGGCAAACTTGACTCAGCCCACCACGACGCCACTGCCAAAGAATAAGGAACACTAGTAAAATAATACTTGAAATTATACCCCAGGGATCAGAACTTTGATTGAATGCGTAGCTCGTGGAGGATACTATACAGTATTTGATTGAACATTCCGGGACGGAATGCAGGAAATGGACTACTAATCATAGGGCCCAAATTCTAGGAGCGCCACAACGCGTCATAGGAAATATTACTTTTGTCCAATTTAGATCAAGTTGTTTTGAATTGCAGCAATTCAGAACAACAAACACAAACAGGCCAACACCGGGTCAGGTGCTGGAACCGGTAACGGACCCAGAATGTATGCCAGAGCCGAGCCAGAAACGGGACCACTATTTGTATGCTCCTAACAGTCGAGAATGCTAAGCAGAAAGCGCAAATTAAAAAGTATCGTGCTTCACCTCCGCCAGAGATCTACAAAATACTGGTCAAGCAATCCGTTGAACCCCTCCGATGAAGCCGTTCGTTGAAGCAGCTGTCTTCTACACACCAGACTCCCAGCAATGATAACGTAAAGTGAAGCACTGGACATCGGTCACACCGGTGACCTTAAGTAAGATATAATGAATAGAATGCTAGTGGGTACTTCCGCGGTGGTCGGTTATTGTTCACCACAACCGTTCTTTCCCGAAGGCGAGGTAAATCGATAAATCCATGCGGGTCTCGGTGGGCCACCGGTTGGACGACAAGGCGACGAACTAAACTCTCCACCGCGTTGCTTCAACGCTAGAAGCGGCCACCGCTGTCATTTTTGAGGGCGCATTTATGGTTAGATTATCTACAATGAGACCTCCGTCAAGTAACTGAAATGAATTTAGAGGAACAGAATATGAGGAGTGGTGAGGTACGAGCCGTGAAGAGAGGGTGGTGAAGAGAGGGTGGTGAGGTACGAGCCGTGAAGAGAGGGTAGTGAAGAGAGGATGGTGAAGAGAGGGTGGTGAAGAGAGGGTGGTGAAGAGAGGGTGGTGAAGAGAGGGTGGTGAAGAGAGAGTGGTGAAGAGAGGGTGGTGAAGAGAGGGTGGTGAAGAGGGTTCTTCAACTTTCTTGTGGAGAGCTAGCCTTTTACTCGCTGTTAGTTCACGCAGGCTTCAACGGTCAATGCGATGGCCGCTTCCTAGCCCAGACAAAAGGGCGAAGAACTAGTGCCCGTGAGCCAAGATCTATGACCGACCGGTGGCCTTTGCTATGAAATGGGCATTTCTTTGTGCCAGAGCAGTCCCACCGATATTTTCGGTGACCACATCAGATTTTGAAGGGGTAGAGAAGGCGCCCTATATATATGGCCTGAATATTAATGCTTCACGGACAGCAAGCGAACCAGCATGGCAGACTGCCGCCCCAATCCGACCGAGCAGAACGCGGCCTACAGTTCCCCCTCCCCCCCGCCGGTAAGTCTGTCCCGTGACCGCGGAATCTTCCGCTGACTCATTATCGTCCTCTCTCCCATAGGCTGCTCTGAGCGACACACGAGCCCCGGCCACGGATCATTTCGAACCAGCTCTGGAGACATAGAGGTTGGTCTTAAGAGCCGGCTAGCAGTTAACTTGGATCGCCAGATTTAATCGCCAATGTACTGCTACTAGTTTCCGCTCAGAAAGCATTGGCCGCATGGCCACCGCCGATGGCAAATTTAATACTACAGAAAAAGAAATACCATATAACAGTAGAATTCTCCGTATCCATTGGTCGTACATTCGAATTTAATTACTCTCTGTTAGACCATGGGTGCTTCAAATCCGCCCTCCCCGTGCACTAGCGCCTGCGGTCTTATCCGCGGTCAGTTTCTACTCAGTCCATCAGTCTCCCGAGTGAGAGTCATTGGCTACTCGACAGTCGTAATGAACGGCGTTGGGGGCCCAATGGCTGGGATTAAGCGGAAGGACCCAAACGCCCAGCCAATCGGGCAGATCGGCGTGGACGTTGGCATGGCGTTCAAGCCGGCCCATTAGAGCAGAGATGTCGAAGATCGAGTACGATTTTTGTGCGTTCGCACTAGTCGCAACCATCGCTGCCATCCCTACAATAGGAAACCAGACGGTAGCGCTTGGAGCTATGACTAGAATGAACTGCTTCCGACGTCGTAGACCTCTGACTGGCTAGATATTCTAAGAAAATGGTTTTGCCAAGAACGAATTGTTCTCTTGTTCGGATTAGTGCAAGGAAATTTGGGTGGATGAGTGCTGACAATCGAAAGGAAATCGCAGCTCAGTATCGAATATTCCTACCGAGTCCGATGCCAGTCGCCGGCAACGAGGATCTCCTGGATCCACGCAAGTAACGCGGCCCGGTTCGAGCAAATTTTCCGGGATATCGCCGACCAGGCTAAAACCCTAGGGTGTAAGGATCCCACAGTCAACATATTCCAACCCGTTGAAGGCTGGCTCCAGGATGCGAAGAGAGGAAAGTGGTTGCTGATTCTTGACAACCTCCATAATGGCGGGTTTCTTTGACTCCCCTGTCACAACCTTTAGTTGATCTAAAACGCGGGAGCTGGCCCTCAGTATTCGCAGACGACAGTAGCTGACGGTAAACGGTGGATGGCAAGCCTAGATAGCAGATTGCCCCTAGTATCGTACAAAGACCACTCCACGTCAAAGCGGCTCGTGCCGCTGGTAGATGTTTCCGTGCGACAAAACAGTCGAGTGCCAGGTGGACACTTTTGCTGCAGTGCGGTGTTGACAGGATTAATACGCTGCAGTGTAGCAAGCCGTAGAACATCTGTTGCAGTCTCCAGTATACGTGCTTCTCGAGGGTCAGGGGTATGCTTAAACGGATTCTAAACATAGCCGATGTGTAAGCCCTGATTCATTTTCAAATGTATATGACGTCGTGGACGAGCCTTAACATGTCCGGCAAAGTCACGTCTACTAGATTTTACAACGGAAGCCCACGGGCTGTCAAAAAAACATTTCAGTCCGAGCATACACAGGATTCTGATTAGTCGGGGACCATTCCGTGTACTCGGGCGTAAATCCTTTCCCTCGGAGAGAAGAAAAAAGGGCCTTGGTGAGATGGGCTTCTTCAAAAAAAGCGAAACAAGGATTCCGGAGTACGACGACTCAAACACCAACGACTCAGAACCAATGCTATCAGCGATTTCTTTGCACAGGATCTCCTCGTCAATGGGATTCGAAGGACGGACTGTACAGACATCGATGATAGTTGGATGGGGTCCACGTAGACAGCGGGTTTGAACACCGGCGATTTTTTCCGCTTTTTGTAGAGCACTTTCCACTGGAATTTCCACCACGGCGGTCCTTTGCCCGGCTTGATTTAGGACACCGCTTCGGATTGTGTACATGTTGAAGCCTGAATATTACAGTCAGGTTCTACAGTCGGGTCTTGGTCTTGAGGGAGAAAAGGAGGTAGCATCCTCACAGTAGCAAGGCGGTTCTTCAGTAAATAAAGGGTGAAGAGATGGAGAAATGCAAGTGTCGAACTCAACAGTGTAGAACTGGTCATCGGCCATTGCGGTGGAACAGGCATTTATAGTCCTTCTCACCGGTTGCTTGAATGCATCACGGGAAGATACAATCCGCGCCAGCCGGATGACGGGCTAATTATTCACCTTTTACGGAAGATAATGGCCCCTGGGAAACCATCCTGAGCTCCCAGAGCCTGAGTGACGGCCTCTGGGAACCTGTCACGACACCCCAGGAATGCTCTTGCAGGGCCCGGAATCAACCACCGTGATCCAGGAACTGCACTGTTCATCCCAGGGGCCCGCATTTTGCTAGTTTGCTTCATGTATATCCTTGACCGCTGCAGGAGCCGATCCCAGGATCATGACGGAGACTTTGAGCCGCAAGCCGGCGAAATTCGGACGTCTCCCGTGGCTTTGCCCCTTTCTTGGATATCTCTTGTAAGCCGAGAACAGCGCAAAGATATAAAGATGTTGTAGCGGTCTCGTTCCAGGCACTTTGCCATGCACTATCTACCATCCTTCGTCCAGGCACTCCAACTGACACAACTCCCACTCTTAAAAAACAACGAAGAAGTTCCAATATGGTACGTCGCGCTCTATCAAACCTTTCACCTTTGGCCGCTAACATCAACCCAGTCTACAGATATGGCTCTTCGCACCCGTTTCTCAAGAACCCTTTTCCAAAGAGACGTCGAGGGATTTCTCGATGTGTTGAAACTCATGAATTCACGGATAGGTTTACCGGACACTCTAGGCCGAACAATGCTATGGTACGCTGTCAAGGTGCGCGACCATGAGAAAGTGAAGTTTTTCGTCGACTGTGGCGCAGATCCTGCTGCCGCAGACTCGGAGAATGTAACCCCTCTTCATGTCGCTTTGATGCAAGGCAAATCCATCGATGAAACCATAGCGAGAATGTTGCTGCGTGCCCAGCCGACGATTTCGATATCCGAAATCCTCCAGCATGGCCAGAGTGTGGACCAATTATTTCTGGACCACTCCAGTGGTCCGGACAACGCCAAAGCCATGAGGTTCCTTTTGGAGTTAGGTGCGGATGTCAACGCGCTCAACTCGGAATGCGAAACGCCGTTGATGTGTGCAGTGCGTTTCGGTCACCTCCCAATCATCAAACTCTTGCTTGAGCAAGAAAATGTCGATCTTTACGCGAAAAATCGGTATGGACACACGGCGTTGCATATTGCCACCGTTGATGACCAGCTGGGAGCCCTCAATCTGTTGCTATCCAGCGAACGGCTTGACGTGAATTGCCTGGACCGCTGCGGCAACTCTGCCTTCTGGCTGTCTGTGGAACTTGGGCGTGACAGTATCAGCGAGCGGTTTCTCCGTGATAGCAGATTAGACGTGAATTTCATGGGTGGCTTTTTTCGACCAGAATGGCGAACCACGGCTCTCTATAATGCTTGTTTCCGCGGGAATATCCGAATTGTTTCTTGCCTACTTGCGGCGACACATGTGCCCAGAGTGGATCCAAACATCCAAGGAGATGGCCGAAAGAACCCTCTTGGTATTGCTGCATTTCAAGGCGCCCACGAGTTGGTCAAAATGCTACTCGGTGCCGATAGGATTCGGATCAACGCAGTTAACGAGAATGAAGACGATCCCCTGTGGCTTGCGATTCAGACGCATTGCCGGTCGATAGTGGCCCTATTTCTGGACGACAGCCGACTTGATATCAATTGCCAGAACAACCGGCTTGGGGATACGTACCTCATTGCTGCCGCTCGTGAGGGCAATACTTCCCTGGTAAAGAGGCTGCTTGGTATCAGGGGTGCACGACTTGATGCAAGAAACAAGCAGAATGAAAGTGCGTTGGAGGTCGCGTGTCAACTGCACCACCGGGGCGTCATGCAGATTTTGGTCGAAGCAGGAGCGGCAAATAAATGAGTAGGTCAAAGGATACGTTTATGGTGGATTGAGCGTGGTGTTTGGGGGCATTCTGGACGTAGTCCACGAGATCAAGTACCTTCCACGGAATCTATTGGAGCACTGTCGCGATTTGCGTATTTCCGTTCTGCTTTTCGCCATTCAGCTAGTGTCCCAGTTTTAGTGCACGGTTCATCAAAAAGCTTGATATAGTGTATAGAGCGTTATGAAAGTTGAATTCTCACTACTTTGTCCAACCGACTAAATCAAAGGCGGTCTCTCAAAGCCAAATATACCGTACCATTAGATGGTGTGCATATCACCACCTGTTGCTGATTTTGTGTACTTAGAGCGAAGGCGGATCCAATTGGTATTGAGTAGCTTTAATCTTTTCCTTCGTTGCCCTGGTAAGTGACACCAAACAGACGGGATCTCAGGATGCAACAGGTCGCTCCGAGTTCCTTGCTTCTGGGGCCTTGGAAACTGCACGAGATATATACAGGTCGGCGTTAGGCCAATTTCTTACTGATGTAATCTCCATGCTGGTAATTCGGTAGCCGTTCCCTGCTCCCTTATTGTCCATTGGTCGTCTCGACCCACCTACTCCGGGAGCGCTCAGGGAGCGTTCGACCGAGCAGGAGTGAGGTGCCTTCTGGTCTGGGGGCTTGCTGGGTTCTTGCAGCTGCACGTGACTTGGTCCTTATTTCTCCGCTTTGCACTTTGGTTGGTTCTCAGTTAACCCGCTCGCTGGGCTAGCGTCCCCATAAAGTGCTGTTTTGCAGGGGTCCGTAACATGAGGGTGAGGACTCTTCTGATGACAAGGATTTAAATGATCCTGTCACGGTCATTGAGGATGAGTATATGATGGAAAGCCAGCGGGTTGCCCCTCTTCCTTCTTTACCTACTGTAGTAGTTCCTACTATGTCAGTTTCAATGGGCAAAAGACGACAGCGTAGTGTCTCGGTTGATTCTGATGATGAGACAAGTCCCCAGCTTCCTTGTTATGAGGATGATAGTGGCACTTAGAGGCGCGCTAGGCTACGGGGTACACGGAAGCGAACTAAACCAGATGATGATCAATGGACGTACCATTAGTGTAAAAAATAAATTGTTTCAGCAATTCATCAAGAATTCAAAATAACCATTTCCATGATAAACTATGTAATCCTAATACTCAAAAATACAGAAGAATACTACATAAATAATGCAAGTCACGGGGTGACTAATTTTCGCTGCCAAGAAAGGCCCATAGACGGGCGTAGTGGGCGTTGGGCGTTGGGCCCTACCCCCTAGGCCCGTCCATGGGCAGGCCCGCTATGGGCATTGCCCGCTTACATAATGTCCATGGGCATAGCCCACGCGCCCGTCCATGGGCGATGTCGCAGTCTAGGCTACTCCTTTTTCAGGCCTTGAGAGGCGGTCATCGGCATCAAACTCATACTTCCCCGAGATGGACGCGGATGAAATTAGTTTACCTTTTCTTCTCATCTATCATTTGTTGATCTCTTAGTGTTGTGATGAGTAATAACTTAAAACGCTTATTGTGTCCCTTTAAATTGAACAACATTTCTTTAAAAGTCATATAGTGCCATAAGACGATGTAAAATTGGCTCAAGCGTCCAGCTCGTGGCTTGAGGGTACCTTCAATCAGGAAGTTCAACAAACCAAGGTAAATAGGTACATACGAAAGGAACTTCTTGTGTGCTTACGTGCCATTAGGTCATTGGACATCACTGCCAAGCCAAAGTTACACGATATTGCTGTTTTAACGATCTGAAGTACTGTCGTCCATCAACAAAATCAAAACTCGTTACTGTATTGTACTTTATTCCTAGTAACACAATGTTAGTTGCCGACGAGCCTCGTGCAGGGATAGAGGACCAACGTTGTCTCTTTGAAGTCTCTAGGAACGAAGTGTGCTTACTCTACTGCGATACAACTACTGAGAAGGACACGTTTTCTATGGACTGTTTTGCAAATATTTCCAGTGTCGACTTCCATGGAATTCCATTGATTTCCCTTACATTTTGAGTTAATTTACTAGCACTATTCAATACCATTCAAGCAGCATTTTACAGTGGCCCTCAACTTACTGCGGCCAGCCCAATTAATGATCTGCGCTAAGGTCTTGGCAACGGGGCCAGAACAGAGTAATTGAGTGTGTATCGGTCAAGCCGATTTCGAGAATGATTGTAATGGAGTATTGCGGGCCTCAGAAAGTTTCCTAATGAAAGCGACCGCCTCAGAAATGTGGAAATCTCATATCAGACGACCGCTCTTTTCTTAAGGTTGGTACAATCGACACATTTGGCGTGGGTCTAGGTGGGTCGCCGATTGTTCCCGCTAGGCAAGGAACGCGACTCTCTACCGGGTTGTCTCATTGCTGGAGGCGACCGAGGGAAACATTGAGTGCATGGCTTGATGACGATTCAATTATTTACATGATCACCGTAAAACAAACCGATGAGAATTTTACTTCATGGGAGTGGAAAGGAAATGTAACAATGGGATGAAGGCCCTTCAAATTGTTGGATGAATGACTGGACTTCCTGTCGTGGCCGCTTGGCACTCAGGCGGTTGAGTGCAGCAATGACCATCCCGCATGAACGAGCGAGGCACCAATTTCATGGGTGTGGACTTAGCGGGGACTTGCTCTCCGAATTCTGATGCTGAGGCCGATGGTTGACCTCTTCTATGCCAGGTTCTTTCTGACTATTGTTTCAGCACGACTTCGAAGATTTTTCTGGCGAGCCTGCCAGACCATAAAGAGCAGAGATGCTGCCCCATCGAGTACCATCCCATCATGGACTACCCAAGTGATCCAGCATCGGTAGGCCAGGCGGAAGAACAAGGAGTAGCATTCAAATCTGACTTGAAAGTCACTACATTCGCCCGTTCCCCGGGCACTGGTGTATTGTCAATGATATGGAAGTAAAATACGATCATTTAGACCTACCAAGTGATTAGGGCAAGAGGAGCACTAATGTCCGGCTTCATTTCATCACACGGATACCATATGGCACATATTACGAGATACAACGTAGGTGCCAGCTGATTACGGGCGCCGTTGCCTTGCCGGATTATGTTTCGTCCGAGCACCAAGCACTATTGAAGATTGTTGGTTCCCCTGTACAGTTATTCTCGAAATCGCCTTGACCAATGTGCACTGAGAAACTCTTTCCCAGCCCCACCGTCAAGACGTTAGGTAATGTAGCAACATACGGTACCGTACGCTGCCCATTTTATGGCGCCCTCAATTTAACGAGGACCGCTCAATGATAGCTCTGCGCTAAGGTCTTGGCGGTGGGGCTAGGAAAGAGTGCCTGAGTGTGTGCTGGTCAAGCCGATTTCGAGAACGTCTGCGCGCCAGCTATTCACATGAACGGTGGCACCGGTCGTGGACTACGCCTCCAATGTCTGGATGCACGCGTGCAAGGATAAAGCCATGGGGCCGATCAACCGAGTCCAAAGAGTAGGCGCGCAAGCCATTGTGAGAACATTTCTCACGGTCGCGACCAGTGTCGCAGAGTCGGAGGCCCACATAGTTCCTGTGCAACGTCGATTCTAGAAACGAGCCGTGAAAATGTGGATAGATATCCACACCTTGCCGGGAACCAATCCTCTCCGCCGGTGCATAGATCAGATCAGAAAGTTCAGGAGATACCACCGCTCGCCGTTATATCACGTAGCTGAAGTACTTAGGCACATCGACATAGAAATCCTGGAAACGATAAACCCTTTCACGCTAGCCCTATGGGTGGAACGCGTACAAACCGACATTGATGAGTAGCACGAGTCCCTAACCGAAGCGGGCGGGTGCATATAGGTCGCGGTTAGTAGCTCGGCACGGAACAAGCGGGTGGGGTTTGGAGTAGCCATCGAGAAGCGGCCACCTCGAAATCGAAAACTCAAACATAAAGCGCTATCCATCACCTTAGCTGCAAGAGCAGAGTAGAATCCATTCTCTACGGAATTGGTAGCTATGGCGCACGTGTTAGGCACGTTAGCGCGACTGAAAGACTACACGATCACACTACTCATAAGCAACAAAGTGGCGGTTCTCACGCTTAGAGACCCTCGACAATAATCTGGCTAGGAATTCGTCTATCGGATATACAGGTTGATTAAAAGGTTATAGAGAAACGGAAGCCATGTTAGATTCTGCTGGATTCCTACTAGGGAAGATAACAAACTGCTGGGCACGGCTAAAGTATAGGCTAGAGCCGCGACATAAGAAGACGCCCTCCTATAAGAAAGCGTTCTAAGGATAAAATCGACCACACTGAATCTCGCACGGTCTTAAGCAGTCCCCAGAAATACCCTACCAGCGGACGTCGGAAAGCACGCCAAACGAGTAGATACAGCACTTCTAGGGAAACACACGCGACTGCTTTATGATCGCTTATCATGGAAGGAAGCGACCGTGCTAGCCCAAGTCTGGACGGGTATGGCGAGACTAAATAGCTACCTCTATCGAATCAACGCGGTCGACACGGATCAGTGTGCGTGCGGACGAGCTAAGGAAACTATGGAGCACTTCCTCTTTCGATGTCGGAAGTGGACCACACACTGGACGGATATGCTATAGTGTACCGTGACACACCGAGGGAACCTATCTTTCTACCTAGGAGGGAAGTCGCCTTCCGATGATGAGAAATAGGCACCGAACTTAGAGGCAGTACGGGCCTCAATACGATTCGCCATCGCCACGGGCCGCCTCGAGGCCACTTAATCATACCGACGAACATAAATCACCCCCCTCTCTTTCTACCTAACTCACCAACCACCTCGTGCTACTCATAGTGGATGCGCTTCAACTGCCGAAGATAGGATGTTGAACACTTGGAGAAGCGCCGAGCATCCGTTGCGACACTGCATGCCGGGAATGACACACGCGGCAAGGCTCTATGTCTGGGCTGCAATTAGACACAGAACTGTATATATTATGACATGTGAAGTAGATTAGCGATAGTTGCCCTTTCGGCTCAGCCGCCGGGCGTTAATGAATTGTGTGTGTGTGT